GAAAATCTTCAGCATTGACCTTAAGCTAATTAAAAACCTTGATCTCTTTCTCTCTTTCTCTCGCTCTCTCCCCACCTCACTATACCCTACATCACTTGTTATGCAAGGGTATATTAAGTTTGTGCAGATGTATGCAACACCCAGTGTTCACTTTATGAATCGATTTAACCTTGTCTGTCTGCCTGTCCCTCTTGTATTCTTGTGTTCGACCTACAGATTGCAATTTTCGAGATATTTTGATGAAGTTCGGTACATCGACGTGGTTTACCCAAAAGCCGAACGGTATCGAAAAGCCTTTATATGAGACCATTTTTTCAACCAGTTCCTATATAAAGCTTTGCTTTAAAAAGTCATTATATGACTAACTGTATTAAGCTAAGTGTCGTAGGGTATTTAATAGTGAGCCATGGCCCACTGTAGTGTTTTCACTTGTTTTTGTTAAATCATTCATTCATGCAAAAATATTTGAAAATATTGTTAACATCCATTATAAAGGGAATACCAACATATCGCCTTCTCCACTACAATTAGGGAAAAAACATGATTACAGCATCGATGGTTATCATGCTATAAGGTGATAATTTGTTTGCTTCAAAATAAGAAAAGCAAATAAAATAAACTCGAAAAGAGTATAAAAATCATTAACTGCATCTTGAAAAAAAGAAGTCGCGTTTAAGTCTCCAACTTCATTAGTTAACTTAAAAATGAAAATTTTCGTAATTTTTTTTTTTTTAATACACTGTAATTTTTTAATTATATCAGCTGAGCATTTACCTAGAGATCTAAAGAAAGAGACACAATTGGCATTACATTTACCTAATACGGCACAAACTCACACACCTTGGAATGTTGAAGATTACAAGTCGTCTAATACCTTTGGTGCTGACCATCAGCTAAGAAGAGTTCGTGATTTAAGTAAATTTGGCGGCAAATTTGGTGCTCTTGGCTATGGTTTTAAAAATTTGGTTGGCTTCAGGAATTGGGGCTTTGGCTCATTGCATGGCTTAGGTGGTGGCTTTTACAATTCTAAACACTGGTTTGGTAAATACTTTGGCTAAAGTATTTTAATTTTAAGTTTTTTAATTAAAAATATGAAAACAAAACAAAAGCATATTATAAACGGAATCGCACCTACAGCCATTGACACATATATAGCACAAATTTAAAATAAATTTAAAAATTTTTTTCCCATTATATATAATAATTAAAAAAAAAATTGTATTCTTTGTTAGTAACGTTGTTTAGCAAAAATCTGCTATAAAAAAATCTCAACTGAAATATTTATCGTTATTATCCTTATGAGTACAGAGTATGCCTCAGAACAAAAAGATAGATGAAATTTTTATTGGATCAGAAGCTGTGGAAGACTTCAGGACATCAAAGAGGAAAGGAGAACGTTAGTGTTGACGTGCGCTAAAACGTTGCAGTCCGACAAGACCGCGCATTAAATATCCTAAGCCATAATTTTTCTCCTAAAATACCAAAAATTAGACCTTGTTGCGACGGCATTTTTCATGAGAACCATTATACGCAGGAAGATTTCAAGAGCATCACAAAGTAGTCGAATTTAGTGCAGCGAATTTACCATGTGGGCCAAATGCCTTCTCTAGAGGCATTTTGATTAAAAAGTGTTAAAAGTTAGACCATCTTATCATGTACAGGCTTCTTATACTTTACACCACTAGGGGTATGAGGGTATATTGTGTTTGTGCGAACGTACGCAAGATCCAGAACGACTTGAGATAGATCCTCTTTTTATTATACCGACTCTCATTTCCTGTTTCGACCTAAGCTTGTCTGTCATTCTGTCTGGCTGTCCATCTGGTTTTCTTGTATTCAACCCAAATGTCGCAAATGTTGAGGTTTTTAATGAAATTTTATACACCCACATACTATATACACCTATGTGCTATTTTCGGTAGTTACATGAATAATAGGAGTTAAGGGAAATGATCCATGGCGGTTAAAGGTTGGCCCTTTTACTTGTTGTTCATTAAAACATTTACATGAGAGAAAGTTGAAAAATGATCCCGTCATGTTAAATTCTCCAATATGCTATCTTTAGGGGATAAAAAAAAAAGGAGGAAAATGTGAGCATTTTACGGAATGCACCTGAACATGTCCGCTTGTCCATCTGTCCATCTGTCTGTTTGCGTAACTTTGTATTTACGGTAAACAATCTCCCGCTAGCGAACATGAAATTTGCAAAAGAATTTGGAATTGAGCCACTCTTCTCAAAGGACACGTCTATAACACCCACATGGCTATACGACACAATCTTTAATTTTACAGCTCCATTTTGAAGAGCATGACTTCTTCTTTTTGGGATAATGGTAATGGGTGTAAAAGATTCGGTCCCGAGCTAATTTAATTTTCTTGCTTTAATTTTTGGTGCCTTCGGGATTGTTTTTAGATTAGAGTAAGAAATGTAATCTTTTCAGTGATTCAAACATTTTTTCATTTTTTTAGTAAAAGTTTAAATATATTTTAAAAATAAATATTTTGTATTCTTTTATAAAACTTTTAATAAAACTTTTGTTTGCAATGGGGTGCGTGTTATTTAAATGGGCGTAGCTATATACGTTAGACTACATAATTTCTTAATGACTGATTTTTAGTGTTAGCTCGATATACTATAATTCTCAATACAGTTTTATACAGTTGGTCGGTTTTTTATATCCAAATTTTTTCAGTTTTTTATTTACCGAAGGTTCAAGGTTTTTGTTCAAGTTTCTGTTTAAATTAAATAAGATATCTCGGTCGATCTAGAATCTAGAATTCGGAATTATTTTCTGAATTGATTTAAGCACTTCTCTGCGTCTGATATCTGTCCACAAAAATTGCATTCAGCTTATAAGATAATTTTTTGACATATTTAGGCAATTTTTGAGATATTCAAGTGGCATTCAAGCGCATTTTTTGGCCCAGGTGGGATTATACTGAAAATTGATTGGGTAGGAAAATTTTTAATAATCAGATCGTTGGGAAAAACATTAATTTTGCTATATATGCACCGCGACAGTTGATGGATAAGGCCTTGCACGAAACATATCCCTTTACATGGGAAGAAGGCGCAGTGAGCTGCTTCAAGGAAAGTGGTGTAGAGCATTTAAAAGTTGACCTCACCTGAGCACAATATTTTACTTGTTTATAGAGGAGATAAGCCATCAAAATTTTGTTGAAAAAAAAAACAAGTAAGCACATATAGTCGAGGGAGGCCGACCATTAAATATCGTATGTTACATTGTCCAACACAATTCTTATTTTTATTATAGAACATAAGAATTATATCTTTGGTTGTATATAAAGGCATGTTTTTCATGTGCGTAGTTCTGGGCAAGCGAGCCCAAAACACAATCTAATGCAATACAAATTTAATCTTAAAGCATTAAAAAGAATGCGTAGATGGGTCGAATTTTGGAGAGTTAAATTCCTAAATTATTATGGGTCGATTTCCAACACCACTTGTTAAAACTTAGACTTTTCTGCTTTACAAAGGCTCAATTTTCATTCAAATCGTTGTTAGGGTAGGATCCAAGACCGAGATGGTCCAAATTTGGTACACTTAATTTTTTTATATTAAATGACTATTATGATATAATTTTCATCGTGAAGCATTGCAAATTATACCTTTTTGTCGTTTTCACTATATGAGAGAAGGTTTAAAAATTGCTCGAGGCGGTCCAATAGCTTTGAATAAAATTTTTGCCACCGTACCAGATCGAATAAACACCTTAAGAAAGAGTGAAGTAACCTGGTTAAGCTCTGTTAAGTGAGAAACATACCATGGAAAAAACAAACCCTAAGTGTATACATACCGATCTTTGGATATACCCCATATACATTATGCACAAGAAGTCTCATTGAGTCTGTTTTCCGGTCTTAATCTATTACCGCTTTGTTTAGTAGGACTAATTGTCATCTAACTAGGGTGTCTAGAGTGTGCAGCGACGATCACTTGGAGCAAAGTGTTGGTAAATTCGAAGCGCAAGGAGACGACGTGCTAGAGAACCTCCTAAAAAGTAACTAACAGTTGTTTAGCTTGAAACTCACTTGACTCCGCTTACTTAGCAATTCAAACCAGGGTCCATGTTAAAGCTTTACTAAAAGATTAATATCGAATCATAGGCGTGAAGGCGCGCGCCTCTCCTTGGTTTTAAGTTAATGGTCAGCATCCTTGTTTTTTTGCACCCGGTGTGCATGACACCCTGTGTGTCTTGCTTAAAAGAAATTTCCGTTTTTGTGCTGACATGCGCAGCTTATAACACTCGCTCGCTCTCTCTCTCTCTCTCTCTCTCTCTCTCTCTCTCTTTTCAATCACTATTTGTATTCGAAAGCAAGGGAAGACATAAAACAACTCAAATTTGACTAACTCAGACAAATTAATAAGAATTTAAATTGGAATTCACTCACATGACTATCATGAACAAAAATCAAACGAATAGTCTCTCAGAATTTCTAAAAATGAAACGGCAGGTCTCTCAGAATTCCCAAAAATCAAACGGCAGGTCTCTCAAAATGAACAAAAGCCACTCAGAATGTGTATGAGAAAAAAATACATATGTTTTTTGATAGAAGTAAACAAAAAGTAACTCTCATCATTTTCTAGATATTTTCAACATTTTCAGTTGGTTTTTTCTCTTTGCAAGGAAAATATGAAAAAATTATGCGAGGTTTTTGAAAATTGAAGCGAATACAGCACAGCCTGAGTAACGGCGTAACGGGGAAAATTAGTCTGCAAGGGGGAAAAAGCCAAAAAAAAAGTAAAAAAAAAGGAAACGAAAACTTAGTGCTAACCATACCAGTATATAATATCTAAAAAAAAAAAAAAAAACAAAGTTAAAAAGAAGCAGAAAAAAAAAGTTTATTGAAAATTTAAAAAAAACTAAAAATAAAATCGTCAATTACCACTAATTCGATTACGAAAATATAAAGCACGTGATGTAGAAATTTTTTTTTATTTTTTTTTATTTTTGTAAATTCTTTTCTTGAAGAAACTTTACTTTTTACACATATGTATGGTGACGAAATTTTATGTAAAGACTGAAATATTTTTAAATATTCGAAATAATTATGCGAAGGGAGGCAAAGATTTTGTCTAAAAATAAGCACATAATTATTGCTATGTATGTCGGCTGCGGCTGTGGCGTAGCTATAGCTATAAAATATGTTTGTGTGTGCCTTTGTGTGTGCAAAAATTGAAAATGAAAATTAAAAATAACCACATTTCTATACTTACATATAACACACACTACCTATGCACAGCTTGGTCCAATCTGTTTTAATAAAATAAAGAGTCAAATAAAAAGGAAAGAAAACGAAATTAAAAAAAAAAAAAAAAAAACAAAAAGAAAAACAACAAAAGAAATTTTTCTAATTTCCCTAAGCAATGCTTGTATATGTGGTTTGTGTTGATTTTTTTTTTATTTTGACATGTTTTCTCTTTCAGAGTAAAGTTTACGAAAATCGCTAAAGGAAAAGAATTGAGAGAAAAAGAAGGAAAGAAGGAAAATAACAAAAGTAAAACAAAAACAAAACTTAATCAAAACATTGTTAGAAAAAGCCCGGAAAACAGACGTAACGAAACAAGTGTCTACTTTTAATTCATTCTAAATCTTCTTCATTTACAAAGAAAATATCGAATTTATTTAAAAAAAGTTAAAGGTAAATAATTATATTGCAATAGAATTTTATATTTTTTAGTTTTATTACACTAATTGGAAATGATTCCGTCGGATGGTGGAGGGGGCGGGTTCATATTAGAATTGTACTTATCTTTATGTAAAACCACAAGTTAACCTCAGCTATTATTATGCTTAGATTGCGCTAATTATGCCGTCTCCCAATCCATGCTAAATTTTTAATACTCAATTGGAACTTTGGCGGAATACACCATACTTGACAAGACTTGAAAATGTGAACTGGCAAGCTTTGAGAACTACCTACTTGCTTGCTTGTGAACTAAAACTTAATATAAGTGTTTCTTAAATGCTAGACAAAACATGTGAAAACCCTGCAGTGAGTCGCGGCTCGCCATTAAATACCGTACACCGCTTCGTTTAATACGGTTATTCATATAACGATTTTTCAAAAGGCGCTTAGTCGAAAAATTGGGCCGATCCGAAGCATTTTCAACAGCATTCTTCCTTGGGCCAAATATATCGATGTATCAAATTCTATCAAAATAACTCAAAAAGTGCGAACAGCAGGTTAAACAAAATAAAACAAGACAGTTAGACGGACAGACAAGCTTAACCCGATTAAGGAAGTGATAAAGTGGCTCTGAATCAATGGGTATAAGAAAAGGTGTATCTATCTCAAATACTTCTGAGCGTTGCCTGCAGCTGCAAAGACTTAATATACCCTTACACCACAAGTGATGTAGGATATAAAAAGCACTTCCAATCGAGCAAGTGGCACGTCTGCTGTTAGCAAAGATTGTTATGATAACGAAATATTTTATAAAATCTTATGTTTAGGCTCTTGGTTATCAAAAAATTTGCCCAAAGCCCTATATAGCTTTTTTACTTATTTAGTTTAATTTATTATTAGGTGCTTGAATTAATTTCCATCGCTTTTGCTTCCGCGAAGAAATGAGAATGTATATATGTGTTGATATAAATAATTATCCATTATATTGCCATATCTCGATATTTTGAACTAAAAATAATAAAACGCTATAAGTCAGCTATCGTTAAAGGCAATTTAATCATTCAGTTGAGTGATTTAGAAATTTTTTATTCGCAAGTGCTGTTTTAATCGTTTTGCCTCATAGAAACTGTAATTTTGGAGATATGAGAGCTTGACTACTAACAACATGTTCCAGTTTATCAAATCTATACATAAGACATGAGTAATCAATTCTGCAGTCGTCTTTAAGATCTGAGAACTTTCATCTAATACTTCTGCCTTTACGCTTAACCCAACAAATTCTCCTTTTATTAGCAATCAAGCAAAGAAAAGCGTAAAATGGTTTTACATGGCATTTTGCACTGTTCGAAGTCTCTCGGTTTCAATTCTTATGATTTTCATACTCTTGAAGGATGTACAGCTTGAATGATGAAAGCTCTCAATTAGAGAACCTTTAAATTTCTCGTCCTTTAAGTATTGGACTAAAGGTGAATCTGCATTCCAAATAGATTGCAATTGCTTTCTATTCAAGCATTTTCGTCTATTTTTCAGCGATTTTCGTCATTAACCCAAAATCTTTAAGTAGTCATTCTCTACAGGTTAGTTGTGCAAGCTGGTCTTCTACTACTTTTTCCATTTATAGGTTAAGCCATCCACTCCAAGTTTCAACTGACGTTATAACTTACAACTGAGCGGATCGCAAAACAAATGCTTGCTTATACCTTATCGGTTGTTCATTGGAACTATGAAATATACGGAAATGAAAAATAAAAGAAAAGAAAGAGATTAATTCATGTCCCAAGTATTTCTGCATCATTTTCACTGAATAAGGTAAAAAGAGAAATTTACTTCTCTCCGCTCTTTCTTCTTTGTTTATATAGATATTTTTCTTTATTACTTGTCTCACCAAGGCACACAAACACGTGTGATGTCCTTGTTGGCTGTGCATATAAGACAAGGGTACGTGGTGTACGTTTTTTTTTTTTTTTTTTTTGCTTTTTTCCCCTTTGTTTGTTCGCTATGCAAAGCTACCTTTAAAGTCCAATCAACCCTTTTGTTGAATGTAAAATGTTGTGTGTTATTATTATAAAAACTTTCTATGTATATACACACAGGCGTCTGTGTGCTTATATTTATCTAATTGCTTATTATAAATTGATTTATATCGATTATCTGTTACACTTACGCTCATCACAAGGTTAGTTTAAATACTTTCCTTGATAAATTCAAGTGATATATATATATATATGTATGCAAGTAATGATTTTGCAAAGTTTTTGCCACAAGGCTTACACGGAAACGCAGGTATCATTGCCTCTTCATGAGAGGCGTTACATTGACGTCGTCAATGCTTAAGTGTAATCCAAGAACTTGATAACATCACAACATAAGCAAATTAATTCTAATACCATTTGCCCTCGATGTAAGTCTACTTTAGCTCTAGCTTACTTCAGTAGATAGACAGATCCAGTAACTAATTGCACAGATGATCACTTTTCGAAAATTTTGATCATAGTTAATAGAACCGGTTGTCCACTCTTCCACTAATCTCTTTATTCCCTACATTTCTTGTTTTACATTTCTATTTCACTTTGTCCGCGCAAATGGCCGAGTAAATAAGAATCGCTATTACCAAGTCTGTGTTCGAGGGTTCAAATCTGAATACGATTGTGTTTACTTCAGTCGTTAATGAGTGGTTAGTCCGCAGAAGTATAACACTTAAAGGTTGAGCAGACATGTACTAGACTGTGACCATCATCTCTCCATCTCTTTGCTGACTTGTTTCTGATCGTCACCGTATTACGCGAAAAGAGGGTGTCCCCTTAATGACCAGAGGAGAAAAAAGAAAACTTACTGGCCAGGGAAAGTTGAAATTCTTTACACCTTAGTTTGTAAACATATTTGAAGCCTTCTAAAGAAACCAGAGGCCAACGAAGACAGTAAGCGCTTATCAAAGTTCGCTGTACCTGCATTCCAATCAAATCTTGACATTTTATGAATCGCTATATTGCTTAACACGTTTGCGGACAGTAAAGATTTCATGGACGTCCAAAATTCGTAGCTATTTTATTTTAACTATAGTTGTGATATTTGGAATCGGTCTTAAAATATTTGGTAAGACTAACTACATTTTAATTGCACGTATGCAATGAATGCCATAACGTCCATGGGAGATCCAATTTCTTAAACGATTATTATTAATACGTTAAAACAGGTTGAAAAATTATATTCGAACACCACCGAATCTATTATACCCATCATCGTTACCCTATCAGATGTGAGGTCAATTTACGCTTTATTGTGGGGGTGTGCTTCGATCCTATTCGATTGGCCCATTTTTTGTCGAGTCCACGGGGAATGTTTACCACAGAGAACATATGCACTTTATGTGGTCGCCTGGGACTTCCTTCTGAGTGTTGCCAACGCTTTGACAAATTGAATATACTCGTCATCCTTCGATGATGGGTGTAATACTTGGCTTCAAAACTGAAATATTATTATGTTGACGTCATTTTACATCACACTAAAAACGAATGCTATAAACAAATGCTATAGAAGCTTGTTAAATGTGCTTCAGAGCTCGTTCAACTTTTATTCGATACAACTCTCGTCCCCTTAAAAACAAAGGAGGATAACACAATACTCTTAGTTGAGGGAGACTTAGGCATAGGGCTACTGAATATTCATCATTTCAAATATAAGTTGATTGTTGACCGTTTAAGGTTTAATTTTCATCCTGTGGTCTATCTACTACTACTAATACACACTTCTTAAGGAACTAAAGTGTAATCAAAGAAAAAAAGAAAAGAGTTTTATTTACAAAATCATCCATTATTTATGTCCTATCATCATATATCATTATTTGCGATACACCGTCAGTTTAGAATACATACATACAAACGTGAACACAAATCTCAAGATGAAACCTTGCAAAAAATAAAAACTCTAATCCTATATGTTTAAATGTCAAGATTGTGACGCACAAGTAACGTTTGATACAAAAAAAAAAAAAGAAAAACTTTCTTTGTATGAGTATGTGTATGAAATTATACACACGCGAATACATATTTGTAAACCTTTATGGCTACGTATACATACACACACAAGTACATGCGTTTAAATTAAAAAATTTTTTTTTATATATATACGTATATAATAAAGTAGTTCAAGGTTACATCCTGTCAATGTTACTGGTTTATGTGATATTTATACATCGGGATAAATTTAAGTGCATTTCCGGTTCGCATTTATTTATACACAAGTACTTAACGGTGAAGTTTATAGAGTATAGAGTATCCCGGCAATAAAAAAATTTGTTCTCTTCCTAAATAAACGGGAGATTTATCAAAAAAAAAAAAAATAAATAAAAAAAAATAAATAAATAAAAAAAAAATAAAAGAGCCACTATCTTAAAAGCAATTGAGGAGAGCGCCAACAGTGGAAACTTTTAAGAAAGAGAGAGTTCAACAATGTCAGTAGAAAAGGGAAGAGAAGCGCTGAAGAAAAGAGCCAAAGAGAATTTCTCCTAAAATTGAGTGATGTAAATGTTAAATGGGAGCTGGTTAACAAAATTATAAAAATATTAAACCTATTAACTGGATTTACTCAATTCTTTTTTTAGTATCTTTGAGCTATAAGCAGCTATATGCAAGCAAATGAAATGAATGAAGAAAAAAAAACAATTCTTAGTAAAAGATTTGTGGGAAGCACACAATATGCGCGCGTTCTCCAGTTAGATTTAGCACAGATATTAATGGAAGTACGTTTTAATCTTAAAGGATCAATACTTATTAGATTTTTGAATATTAATACATATTTACAAAACACATTTACGTGGGTTTACCAAAAAAATTATAAAGCAATCTGACGTTTATGATGTATTCATAGTGGAGTTTAGTCGTTTACTGAATTTGTCGACGCTTTTCTTAGCAGTCATCAGATCAAATTGAATAGGTAAGACTGGCGTGAAATCTCCAATGGAATTGTCGAGGTCTCAAAGATGATGCACCACTGCTAACTCAAAAAATTCGAAT